GTAATACAATTTGATAATCAGGTATTGTGGTCCTCCTATTTTGTTCTTTCTCAAAATTACTGAGGCTATTCAGGGTTGTTTATGATTCCATATAATTTTTTGAAATATTTTTTCTATATCTGTGAAATATGTCATTGGTATTTTAATGGGGATTACATTGGGCCTATAAATTATTTTGAGTAGCATGGACATGTTGATTCTTCCAATCCATGAACATGGTATATGGTTCCATTTATTTGTGTCTCCCTTAATTTCTTTCTTCAGTGTTGTGTAGTTTTCTGAGTACAGGTCTTTAACCTCTTGGGTTAGGTTTATTCCTGGGTACTTTATTTTTCTTGTTGCTTTAGTCTAAATGGGATTTTATCCTAATTTCTGTTTCTGATACTTCGTTGTTGGTGTACAAAAATGCCTTTGATTTCTGAATATTGACTTTGTATCCTACTGTTTTGCCAAATTCACTTATTAGGTCAAATAGTTTTTTTTGGTGGCGTCTGTAGGTTTTTTTTATGTACACTATCATGTCATCAGCAAACAATGACCTTTCCAATTTGGATGTCTTTTATTCCCTTTCTTGTCTGATTGCTGTGCTCAGAGCAGTCATATTTTTTATCTTAAAAAACAAATACTGAAATATCTTTGCAGATTATAAAATATACCAAAACATTTCATTACTTCAACTAGATATCAAGATCCTTGTTTTGGAGGGAGGTTTGGGAAGAGGTTTAGTCACAGCCTTGTTTGGAATCCCCATTTATGCTAAAACTATAACTAAACATGCAGCCCTTAGAAGATAATAGTTTAGTTTGGAAAGAAAAATCCAAATACTCTCTTCTAATTTCCCTGCATCTTCAATAAATTATCTAATAAAAGGCTTTCATAGTTCATTTTGCTAATTTACTCATTCACAAACATTAACTGAATATTTACTAGTTTAAATTGTGCTGGTCAGTAAATGAGAATTAGAAATGACTCTTGGGCTGGATTTGATAGTCGCCTTCACACAGATGTTATCCGAAGCCATGAATACAAAGAGCTTCAGAAATACTGCAGGGGCAACAGAGGAGAAAGTTAAAAGAATAACTAGTATGGACACTAAGAAAAGGTAGTGCTGGGGTAATGAAGGAAGGAGAAATTTTTAAGAAGGAAGTATTACTGCTATGAAATCTCAAGGGGTAATAAAGGGAACATAATGATTTAGGGTGAAACCCTTGGGACTGGGACATGGGTTCCCCTCCCACTACAGACACTCCGTCTCCTACCAGGTAGTAGTGTGGTGCTGGCACCTGGCCTGAGCTCTGCCAACACCATGCTCTTTCCAGGCAGAACTTCAATGGTTGCCTTTGGCCAGCCTGTTGTACAAGTGGAACTGTGGCTATGCTATCTGCTGTCCTCGGCTCCATCCTATTCTAAGTCTAGTTCTTTTTTTTTTTTTTTAAATTATTTATTTATTTTTAGAGAGGGAAGGGAGGAAGAAAGACAGAAACATCAATGTGCGGTTGCTGGGGGTTATGGCCTGCAACCCAGGCATGTGCCCTGGCTGGGAATCAAACCTGCGACACTTTGGTTCACAGCCCACGCTCAATCCAATGAGCTACGCCAGCCAGGGCCTAAGCCTAGTTCTTTAATCTCCCATTTCTGTCAGTTCTGTGAGTAACCTGAAATCTTTCCAATAAAATTCCTTTCTGTGTAAGTTTGCCAGAGTCTGTTGCTGTTGCTCTCTACTGATCAAATGACATGGGTCAGTGATATGGTGGGGTCAAAAGCTGGGCTGAAGAGGATTACAAATGTGGAGTTAAGTAATAAGAAACCAAAGTTACAGTGTTGTTGGAGCCATCTGTCACATACGGGAAGTGGGAAGAGAGCAAAGATGCTAAATAAGTAGGAGTTAAATATGAGCAGCCCTATGAGAAGCAAGATTCAGCTAGTAGGAGAGTGGAGGGACAAACCTTAGAGATGAAGGGTGCCAGTAGGATCAAACTCAAAGGAATCAAACTGAGATAAAGAGAGGAACAACTGCACTAGTTTCATAACTTGCCTATAAATCTAAAATTATCCTTAAACAAAGCTTATTTAAACAAAAATAGGCCGAGGATAAGGATATAGAGAAAAAGCATACCACTTAGTTTAGATGGTTTCAGAAAACTAAGAGAGAAGCTGTGGACAAGAGAATAGGGTAGTGTTAAGAAAACCAGTGACAAGAGAAGTTTCAAACAGTTATATAAGAGCAAGTGTGATGAGAAAAGACAATAAAATAAGAACAAGAACAATGTTCAGCAGTAACCAGGAAGTTGAAGTTGTAGAACAGAAATAAGTTTCACATAATTTATTCTCCGAGAAATTAAGAGTTTGAGAGTGATATGAAGTGAAAATGGGACCAGGAGTAGGTCTAGGGTATGATTATAGACCTGAACAGCTGGCCACAAAGAATGTAGGGCATTAAACACAGCCAGAAGAGGTGGGCAGACTGGTCATGAAGGAGGGTTTTGGAGTCAGAAATATGGAGGGCAAGGAAAAAACTCACTGCTTACTATATATAGATGCATAAGAGGGAAGACTGGATTAAGGCTGCTCTCAAAGAGGGAAAGCAATCTGACAGATGGATCTGGATCAGTGATATGTGACCATAAGGATCAGCTGAGTCATGCTGATATGAGGGAATATGTTGACAAGCTATCATGATTTTCATTTTTTCATGCACACAATGAACTTTTACTATCTATTATGTAGGAGCCACTGTGAAGGAAAAAATCAGGGGGAAAAACCCACACAAATGATCAATGCAGTTTTGCCTTTAGACATCTTATACTGCTAGGAGCTGAGATGCACATACAACTAACAGTAACATAGGCTATTCTGTGTCCTGTGCTCCCAACAGAAGCACGTAGTGACAGAGAGCAGGGGGGTGTATGATGAGAAGAAATGGGCTGAGAGCTAGGGAATCCTGGTCTCCAATCCTAGTCTCACCCCTTCACTTGATAAAGGGAGGATTTAACAAGAGAACATGTAAAAATGTCCAATGGTGCTAGGTTCACAAATGTTCTACAATACACGTTAGTCTCTTTCCTGGTTTCTCTTTGTTTTTACTTAGCAAATATTGACCGAAGCCCAGCAATAAAGTAATAAGTGAAACTTGAAACCAGGGACAAATGTAGCAGAATGGAAAGAAAACATGGGAGATGGATGTGGCACTCTATCCATTCATGAAGGTTCAAGCAGACCTTGAAGGACAATGGTCAGTGATAGAGATGAGATGACTCAGAGGAATAGATCCTGAATGAAGAGAAACAGAAAGCTGATCTAACAAGCAGATATTTGGTACAATGTGGTGGTATTCTTATTCCCTATGCACTGCATGTGAGTGATGTTGGGCATCCTGACTTCATCTCTCCTAGGATCCCCACTTGGGGTTAATTACATAGTTTACCCCTGGGTGGAAGGTAGCCCCTAAGACAACCTCTGGCCCCACCTCCTGGTATTGACAAAAATTCTCTCCTTGATCAAGCTCTAGTTAGGCTCTTTTGAGCTCTCTTTTTTACTAGGCCCTGACTTTTGAGCTTCTGTGCTTGCTTCTGTATTTTCCAGTTTTAGCAATAACCCTGCTAAGTCAGTTTAACTAGAACCCCCCATCCTTGATATCCGATCACCTTCTATATTGAATTGGGTTCTCATCTTCCACTATGTCCCAGGTAATGTCTGATCACCCTGCCTGTCTTCCCCAAGAATCCTGTTAGATCAATTTCACCAGAATCCCTCCTGACTTTTGATGTTTTCTCTCAGTAAATTTCCTTACACTCATTCTTACTGTGCTCCTTGGCTATAAATTCCCACTTTTCCTTGTTGTAGTAGGAGTTCAGCCCAATCTTTCCCCCACTGCAAAACACCATTGCAGTGGTCTCTATACCTATCTTGATGGTCCTGAATAAAGTCTGCCTTACTCTTCTTTAACAAATGCCATGAATAATTTTATTCCTTAACAGCATTCACACCTTTGTATAATCCCCTCCACTTCTTGAGTATAGGCTAGACTTACTGGCTTCTAATAACGAAAACACAGTATTGTATTCCCTTTGTTTTATTCAATAAGTGTTTTTTTTTTAAAGACTTTTTTAAAATTTTATTTTTATTTTTAAAAAGAGGGGAAATGAGGGAGAAAGTAAGAGGGAGAAAGAAACATCAATGTATGGTTGGTTCTCATATGCCTCCAACCAGGGACCGGGCCTGCAACTCAGGCTTATGCCCTGACTGGGAATTGAACCAGTGAGCCCGTGGGTCACAGGCTGGCACTCAATCCACTGAGCAACACCATCCAGGGTGCAATAAATGTTTTCTTATCCCAGTAAAAATGATAAAAGGTCATTTCTGAGATCAGGTTATAAAAAGACTGCGGCTTCCGTCTTGAGCTATCTCTCCCTTTCTTGGGTCACTCTCTCCATTTGAGCCTTAAGAAAACTGCAGGCCTAATCAAAAGCTTAACAGTAATCCCATGAAAGAACAGTGGTCAGAGGCATTGAACTAAGTTGTACCTGAATCCTGGCATGCACACACTGTGAGATAACAAATGTTTCTTGTTTTAAGCCTATAGTTAGCAAATTTATACTCATAGGTAAAAATCTGGCTCACTATCTCTGTAAATAAAATTTTATTGCAACACACAGAGTGACACTAATTAATTTTCAAATTTTCTATGGGTGTGGTCACACCACAACAGCAGAGTTGAGTAGCTGTGACACAGACTGTACAGTCTGTAAAGCCTAACTATTTATTATCTGGCTCTTTACAAAAAAGTTTGCTAACTCATATTGCCTTTTAAGTTTTTGCGTAATTTGTTATTCAGTAATAGATAAATAATACACCCTGTTCCTATAGCATCTTATTCATTCCTCTAACAACACAGTATCTCTTAATTATCTGTGAGTCTATTTTTTCCAACCATACACTAAGTTCCATGTTAGCAGATAATTAATGTTTTTTTCAGGCACTTTCAAGATCATAGTTTATTTATTACTTCAGATAAAAACATAGTATACATATTAGGGAATCCCTTAAAATTCAAATCTGAAGTTATATACAATCTAGTACTTTTGCACTGAATATTAACCAAAAAAACTCTACATACTTAAAAGCCCCACTATTAACATGAACTATGGTAATAAAAAATTTGACATTTAATTTGTTCAATATATAGTATTTGCATTATGAAATGAATTGTGATATGATAAAGTGATAAAGAAATAGTAAAAGTAAACTTTAAAAATCAAAGGTATATATTCTTATAATGTGCTAATTGTCCTAATTATATATACAAATTAAAACATAGCAGAGCTTTCTGTTATAAAATTCTTAATCACCTGACCTTAGTCATTACTTGCTAACAATTTACATGCAACATCTGCTATAAGTGACATTTGATTTTTTTCTTCCAAGAAAGTGTAAGTAGATGAATGAGATTTAAGAGAAGACATTAATTCACTTGTGATCAAAAAACAAATATACGGTACAAGATTAATACTGGTCACAAGCCTCTTCCCTACAGAAATGATAAAGCAAAAACAAAATGCAAAAGCAGTGTCATGAATGGTACAGCTCAAAGAATTTTGGGACCAATCAGACACACCTCTTTCTCATTCCATGATGAGAGGTCTATTTTGCCCTCAAATAATAATAACTGAAGTGAGGGGCACCAGGTGTAAAACTGATTAAATTTTACAAAATACTAAAACAGAGGCCAGAAGAAGGGGTAATTATATATAATTCAAACTATATACATCATACCTTGAATGTAGCCCATCCCAAACTGGCTTTGTGAAACAATTGGACCTGTATGATTTCACAGTTAAAATTATAACAAATAGTATAACAGATTTTCATGGGAAGCAAAATTCAAGGGGGCACTTTGTGTTATATATTTATTATGTTGTTTAAATTTTAAAAATAATTTTACTAAGCATACACTTCAACTGAGGTCTATGTATAAAATGTCCTAATACATACAGTTTTTTTTTTTACCTTTGGTAGATTAAAGGCCTTTTTGTGATTTCTGTGTGAATTGTAGGCAGAATGTGAGATGTGCACATGCGTACAGGAAAAACTCAACCTGAGGTAATCCAAAGGTGTACATATGAAGAAACTAGAGGTACTTTGAAAGACAAAGTACACCAGAAACCCAAAATAGGTAATAGTGAGAATGGAATGCTAATATGGCAGTAAAACTTTTTTTTAAAACAGAAAGAGGAAGGCTTCTTGTACCAGCAGAATCCTGTACTCATTAAAAATAATCATCTATTATTTTATAAAACAAAAGCCAATGTTAGTATAGGGAAGTACAAATTGCAGAAAATTAGAAGTCAACAAAATAGAAGCAATTGGCTTATTAGAAAGGAGAACATGTCACTCTGAGCAGAGCTGCTTGGTGATCGCTGCCACCACCACCCACAGGACCTTGTTGGTGCAGGCCTCCAGACATTCTACATCAGGATCCAAGTGGAGGAGCTGCCTCACACTCTTGGTGGCCAAGTCATATTGCTCATCCAGAAGGGGAGCAAAAGCATTCTCCAGGACATCTGAGGCATGGGCCATGTAAATGAGGGCCAGCAGGTGCTTGTCCATGAGGCAAGGTCATTCACTCACTTGTTAAGAACAGCATCCTGGACCTTCCTAATGAGGAGCAGCTTAATGCTGTTGTTGGTGAAGAGACGTGTTGTCATGTCAAAAAGTAGGAAGTTCTGTTTCTCTGTTGTCAATATGCCCTCTTCCACCAGGTTTTTAGCTAATTGTTCCTGCATATTTCTTAACGGATAATGAAGTTTTAATAGATTCCATGTTTCACCACTAAGTAATTCAATCCAGTTCTGGAATGTTTCTGGAGGCTGAGTCTCCTTAACATGCTTTAGAGCTTCATCAAGAAGGACATCCCCTGTTGGAGCAACAGACTTACAGATCACCTTTCTTGTTAACAGACTTTTATGTCTCATTCCACAAGCCTCTATCTGTAACCTTCCTTTTAATGCTAATTCAATGAACACACAGCTACACAATCCAGATGATATACAGTCATTCCAAAATGATGTATAACCCTCTTGGTCCTTGAGGCCCAGGAGGAGCACCTCCTCCATTAATGTCAGCTGTGTTTCCTTGGAGTTGCCCTTGTCATAGTTGTCCTGCTCATCGCAGTGTCCTTGCTGCTGTTGCTGCCACTGTCACCCCCTCACTGCTGGCTCCTTGTTGGCAGAGTTGTGGGAGGCTGATAATTAATGTTTTAATCAACTTCATATCCCCATTTCCCTGGCACACAGTATGACCTTAATAAATGTAGATTGGCCCAAGAATGCCTAGACAAATGTATTTTACACACTAATGCAGAAAACCTGCAACCTAACAATATTTCTTTAAGTAAAACAGACATTAAATTAAGAAAAGCCAAAACTACTATTTGTGCTGAACAGAAACTATTTCAACTTGAATTCATTTTAAAGGTGTTTGTTGACTGCCACACAAAGGATGATTCCAGATCCAGAAAAACTTTTGATCTTTTAAGCTGGCTAACCTTTTATAAAACCTCATTGTGTAAAATACCTGTAACAACAGTTTATCTCAAATATTTCCAAGATTGTTGACATTAGTTTTTACCATGAAACGAAGAATATATTTTCTGGCACCTGGATATGTTATTGAAATTTTCCAAAACATTGCAGAATTTCAGCTTTGTCCCAACAAATTCTGTATGTTAGATTAAAAACTAAAGTTGGCAGCAAAAATTGTTAAACATTAGTAAGCATCCTACATGCAATGATTCACTGCAACTTCCTAGCTAAGTCAATGTCCCTTCACATTGTTTGCTAGAGGCAGGAGGACAATATTTTAGGCAAGATAAAAAAACCCCTGGATATTCAAGATTTCCAACCAAGACGGAGGCATAGCCGGACACACTGTGCCCCCTTGCACAACCAAAAGAAGGACAACAACAAATTTAAAAACAAAAAACAACCAGAACTGACAAAAAATTGAACTATATGGAAGTGGGACAGCCAAGAAGTTAAAGAAGAAACATTCATCCAGACCAGTAGGAGGGGCAGAGAGGACTTGAGGCAAGGTGGCAACCAGAGTACTAGGGCAAGCAAGATGGCAGCTGGTGGACCAGGCAAGGTGGTAGCTGGCAGAATGGGTGGTCCCATGTTTGCATGCAGACAAACCAGAAAGAACAACTGAGGAGCAAGACAGACTGTACAACCCAGGGTTTCAGCAAAGGGAAATAAAGCCTCAAAACCTCTGACTGAAAACACCTGTGATGGTTGAAGTGGCAGGAGAAACTCCCAGACTCACAGGAGAGTTCACTGGAGAGACCCACATGGTCCTAGAATGTACACAAAACCACATACCTGGGAATCAGCACCAGAAGAGCCCAATTTGCTTGCGGATAGTGGCAGAAGTGAGTGAAAGCTGACAGAGAGCTGACCAAGCAGCATTATTTCCTCTTGGACCCCTCCCCCACATACAGGGCCAAAATACAGCAAAGTGGATTGCCCAGCCCTGGTGAATACCTAAGGTTCCTCCCCTTACTATGTAACAGGCGTGCTGACTGCCCCCCACCCCCAAAAAAGGCCCAAACGAAAGAACAGATCAAAGTTCCAGAAAAAATACAACTAAGTGATGAAGAAATAGCCAAGCTATCACAAGCACAGTTCGAAACACTGGGAATCAGGATGCTCAGAGAATTCACTGAGTATGGTCACAAAAGAGGAAAAAGTAAAGGCTAGAAAAAGTGAAATAAAGGAAAATACACAGGGAATAAACAGTGAAGGGAAGGAAACCGTGACTCAAATCAATGGTTTGGAGCAGAAGGAAGAAAGAAACAGTCATCTAGAACAGAATGAAGAAACAAGAATTCAAAAAAATGAGGAGGGGCTTAGGAACTTCCAGGACAACTTTAAACATTCCAAATCATGGAATCTTTATGATACAAATCATAAAGCTGCCAGAAGGAGAAGAGGAAGAGGAAGAAATCGATGACTTATTTGGAAGGAGAACTTCTCCAATCTGGAAAAGGAACCCGACTTCCTGGAAGACCAGGAAGCTCAGATAGTCCCAAGGAAGTTGGACCCAAGGAGGAACACACCAAGGCATATCATAATTACACTACCCAAGATTAAAGATAAGGAGAGAAGTTTAAAAGCAGCAAGAGAAAAGGAGAAACTTATCTACAAAGGGGTTCCCGTAAGACTAAGCTGACTTCTCAAAGAAATGTTACAGGCAAAAAAGGGCTGGAAAAAAGTATCCGAAGTCATGAAGGGCAAGGACCTACATCCAAGATTACCCTATCCAGCAAAGCTATCATTTAGAATGAAGGGCAGATAAAGTGCTTCCCAGATAAGCTCAAATTCAAGGAGTTCATCATCGCCAAGCCCTTATTATATGAAATATTAAAGGGACTTACCTAAGAAAAAGATCATCAAAAATATGAACAGTGAAAAAACAACAAACTCACAACTATCATCAACCAGACCAAAAAACAAACAAACAAACACCCCAACCCAAAAACAAACTAAGCAAAGAACTAGAACAGGAACAGAATCACAGAAATGGAAATCACATGGAGGGTTATCAGTGGGGGAGGGGAAAAAGGCACAGGGAGTAAGTAGCACAAATGGTAGGCAGAAAGTAGACAGGGGGAGGTTAAGAATAGTACACGAAATGTAGAAGCCAAAGAACTTATATGTACAACCCATGGACATGAACTAATTGCGGGGGGGGGAAGGATGTGGATGGGAGGGGATATGCAGGGCGGAGGAGAATAAAAGGGGGAAAATGGGACAACTGTAATAGCATAATCAATAAAATATATTTTTTAAAAAAAGAAAAAACCTGGATATTCATAGAATGTTGAATTTTAAGCAATATATTCATTTTAACACATAACTGTAAGAATTTTAGGTTTTTAAACTGAGTTGTTTTCTCTGGCTAATATCTAAGAGGAGGCAGAAAAGTTCTGTCTTTGCTTCCATCTTACTACCCAAGGTAATACAGGACTTTTAGTTTCAAGTTCGATGGTAAGTTTTTAACTTTTAAGATATGGTCTTCAGATCTTCTTAAGATATGATATTCTGATCTTCATTCAGCGTAAGAAATGTTACTCTAAAACCAAAGTGAAGCCTAGGTTTTGTGGTTAAGCGCTCAGCTCACACTCTGAACATAAGACACAACTAGGTACTGCCCTGAGTTCAGATTCTAATTGCCCAAATTACCATGTGTTTCTCTGAGTCTTTTCCCTTTACTGTGAAAAAGAGGAAGTGTGCCATATCCCATAGTGTTACTCCGAAGGTTCAGAGACTGTGAAGCACATACAACAGCCACAAATGCAAAAAAAAAACAACAACAAAAAAAACGGTATAAAAGGACAAGTTGATTTAAAAAATTATTCATGAATTTTTATTTATATGAAATATTTATTAATAATCTTACTGACTATGGGTTTTGGGATGATTACCTATACAAGACACAAAAAGCACAAACTTTACATAAAAGAGAAAATCAATAAACTATCAAAATAAAAAAACTTTGCTTTTCAAAAGACACATAAGAATATGAGCCACAAACTAGGGGGAGACATTGGCATGTGTTTATCTGACGAAGAAACTTTTATCTAGAATATATAAAGCACTGTTAAAACATAGTATTACACAAAACAACCCAATAAAAGATGTGCAAAAAATCTGAAGACGCATTTTGCCAAATAAGATATATGGATTGCAAATAAGCACATGAAATGATACTCCATGAATCATTAAGGAAATGCAAATAAAAACTACATTAAGATATCACTACATTAAGATATCACTACATTTTCCCCAAGTGGCTAAAATTACCATACCAAAATATTACCATACCAAGTATTGGTAAGGCTGGAAAATATCACTGCATTTTTCCCAAATGGCTAAAATTACCATACCAAATTACCATACTAAGTGTTCACAAGGCTGTGGAGAAAATGAAACCTTTAAATATTGTTGTTGAGAATATAAAATGGTATGAACTCCTTGGAAAACAGTTTAGCCATTTCTCAAAAAATTCAATATACATCTACCAAACAACTCAGTCATTCCACTCAAGAGAAATGAAAATCTATGTCCATATAAGGACTTGTACATGAATGTTTCCAGCAGCTTTATTTGCAATAGCCAAAAGCTGGAAACTTTTTAAAAATTAAGATATTAGTTCTCAGTAAGTATTCTAAAATTAAAGTAGACAATCCGTTTTTCCGTGGACTTTTTATCAGTTTAGAGAGGCAGAGGTTTTTCTTTCCTAATTTTCTTTTCCTACTTATATTTTTAATATTCAGTCAGGTTTCTTGTCTAGTAAGAATCAGGGAGGAAGGGATTTTGATTTAGGCACACCTATTTCAGAGACACTCAGACAAGTTGTGCGATCTTACTGAACCTCAGCTTACTCCTCTTTAAAATGAGGATAAAAATAACTATCGTTATCAACGATAGTTGATATGTCTAGCTTACTTCTTATGGCACTCCTAAAATAAGAAAAATGGCCATTCTCTCTCCATTAAGGAACAGAGAAATGGCAAAAATGTAGTGTCTCTTATTATCCCAAGAAACTACATCACCAAAATGAGTGGGAAGATATTTCCCCTTAACCTAATGGAACAAGCAATACTTACTAAGAACTACTCTTCCTCCTTTAATTTAAACTCTAGACAAAAGAAAAAATCTTGTTGCTTCAAAGGTCATAACTATATGAATAACCACCTCCTCTGGTATACATGTGTACTTTTGCTACTGTCTGAAAGTAAGTAAAAGATGGTTGGTCTCAAATGGCATTTTATATATCTTAATTTTTTTAAAAATAGAATTCCTTAGGACCTAATTCTAAAATTAAAACGGTTTTTTGCTAACTTTCCACTCTTGGATCAAGAGTAGATTAGAATCTACAACTAAATGTCAATTTCAGAGGCTACTTCCCAAAGCTGACCTGATTAGTAAGAGAAAGCTCAGTATTCCACTAAAACTCATGTTTAAAAATTTATAACATTTCTAACTCTGAGGCTTTTCTGTTTAATCAATCCATAACTAATACATTAAATGTAGGTAAGAAACACCTGATATAGTAGAGGAAAATGCTTATAATGTGAGTATCAATAAGAGTTCTTTAATGTTACTATTCTTTTCAAAGGTAGTAAAAGAGTTGATAATTTTCATATAAGCCTTTCCCTACCAAAGTACAGTTCCTATAATACAGCTAAGTTAAGTAAGACAGAAAAAGGCAAATACTGTATGATTTCACTTATCATTAGAACCTTAAAAAAAAAAAAAAGAGCCCTGGCCAGTGTGGTTCCATTGGTTGGAGCATTAGCCCATAAACCTAAAGGTCATGGGTTCAATTCCTGGTTGGCACATGCACAGGTTGCAAGTTCAGTCCCAGTCAGGGCACGTGGTAGAGACAACCAATCAATGTTTCTCTCTTACACAAATATTTCTCTCCCTCTTCCTCTATCCCCCACTCTCTAAAATCAATAAGCAAGTCCTTGGGTGAGGATAAAGGAAAAAAAAAAAAAAGAACAAAAGAGAAACAGACTCATTGATACAGACAAGCTGATGACCCCCAAAGGGAGGGATGTGGGGGGATAGGAAAAAATAAAATAAGAGAAATACACATTTAATGTAAGTTTTAAAAAGCTTTCTGTGGACCCAAATAGACAATTCTCTAATGAGGACATACAGATGCCCATAGACACATGAAAAAATGCTCAACATCACTAGCTATCAGAGAGATGCAAATCAAAACCACAATGAGATATCACCTCACACCTGTCAGAATGTCTATCACCAGTAAATCAACAGACAACAAATGCTGGAGAGGATGTGGAGAAAAGGGAACCCTGGCGAACTGTTGGTGGGAATGCAGACTGGCGCAGCCATTGTGGAAAACATCATGGAATTTCCTCAAAAAATTAAAATTGTAACTGTCTTATGACCCAGTGATTCCACTGCTGGGAATATACCCTAACAATCCTGAAACACTAATTCAAAGGAATGTATGCATCCCTTTGTTCATGGTGCTATTTATAATGGCTAAGTGTTAGAAACAGCTCAAGTGCTCATCAGTGAATGGGTGGATTTAAAAGCTGTGCTACATTTACAAAATGGAATACTATGCAGCAGAAAGAAAGAAAGGAGTCCTACCTTTGGCAACAGCATGGATAGAACTGGAGAATTTTATGCTAAGTGAAATAAGTCATCAGCAAAGGAAAAATACCTTATAACTTCACTTATAAGTGGAGTCTAATGAACAAAATAAACTAATGAGGAAAAACAGAACCAGAGACCTGGAAATATGGAACAGACTGATAGTTGTAGGAAGGGAGGATGGAGGTGGGGAATAGTGGAAGGAAAGGGAAAGGACTAGTTAAATAACATGTATGAATGACTTATGGATGGACATAAACAATGGAAAGGAGACTCACTGTGGGCAAGAGGGGTGGGCTAGGTGGAAAGGAACAAAAGGGGGAAAAAAGAAATAGGGACAACTATAATAGAATAAACAATAAAAGATAAAAACTGCTTAGAAAAAAAAGCTTCCTTATAAAACTTTCCCTGTCAAATTTAAATAAAGAATTTAAAATAAACTATAAGAATGAATTTACAGAAAAAAAAGCAATAGTACACAACATATAAATATCCCTCTTATCATCTAATTGGAACATTCACTTGAAAGACTGTAAACAAATTAAGTACTATACAGTATATGAAGTAAAAAGAAAAGGAAGTTTCTCTTTACTGCAGCCTTTCTGTCAGCACTAAAACAGGAACGCTTTGTTTCAGAAACAGAGAATTTAAGTTAGGGTATTTTAACACTATATGATAAGCTTTATTAAAGATGCCGGGGCTTTCAGTACCTAAACTCTTTTTAAAAAATCCACAGTTTAACAAAAGCCAAAATTCTGCTGTTTCAGACAAATTAACTTTGAAAACAAAACCCTCTAACGTTTTTAGTTAAAATGGTCTTCAGTTATTTGATGTCCTCCTTCCTAGGTTACCTGCAATAGTTTCTCTGCGTTCCTTTGTCACATGCATTTTAATAACAAAGTATCCTGTATGAACACTCCCTTACCCCATCCAAAACACCACAAACTATACTCACAATCAAAAATTAAATAAAAACTCCACACAGAAACATGTTCTAATAAACCAAAGCAATCTATTTTTAAACCAAGGGAGTAAAATCAATTGTTTCCTGTTTTAAATATTACTGTGGTAATTATATAGTTTTTAAAGACATAAAAATACCACAGATTTGGAGAAGAGCTAAAACAACTTACAGGATTTGTGAAGAGAATGAAAAAAGAATTCTAGTTTTGCACAGTTCCAATCAAGTACAAGAGGTTCCTAGTGGAATCTTCTCAATGTGTATTCCCCATTACTTCATCCACTGCAATCATTAGGTGCCTTGAACTTTAGCCAACCATGACTTTGCACTCACCTTAGCTCTTCCTCCCCAGTTACTCTCAAACTATCAGCACGATCTCGTCTTCTCCTGTAGAGACCTGAATGTGAAAGCTCTTTAAGCTGTAAAGCAGTCATATTTCTCTCTACACATAAATTACTGACATTTTAAAGTATTTATGCTGAGCAGCATGACTGCCAGGGCTAAGAAAGACAGGCTTTCTGCTGCTGAATCTCAGCACACCTGACCCAGAGTTAGAAACCTCCAGGCAGGCCAGGCACTGAAGCACAGCTTCCTGTTTCTCTGCTGGTACACACCCTCCTCAGCAAGGCCTGGCTTGCCTTATCTCTGGGCCTTGCGCCTTGGAGGATGTGTGTGTGGGGGGGGGGTGGGGTGGGGGGGGGGGGGGGGGGGGGGGGGGGGTGAGTGACCTGGGTTGCTTACATGTTTACTTATACAACAATTTTAATTGTTATGAATAATTACACCAACTCTTTATAAATCTTTCCAACATCATTCTGCACTAAAATTGAGCTAAAGCCCTGGCCAGGTGGCTCAGGTGGTTGGAGCTCATCCCCTGCACCAAAAGGTTGCAGGTCCGATCCCCCAGGCAACCGACTGATGTTTCTCTCTCACCTGAGTGTCTCTGTCTCTCTCTCCCCCATCTCCTTCCTCTCTCTGTAGAATCAATAAACATACCCTTGGGTGAGGATTAAAAAAAAATTGACCTGAAGAGCTCCAGTAAAGTAATGACTAAAGAAGAGCCCTGCTCTATTTTATATGTCAGAAAACCATTAACATTTCACAAGCAGCTGTCAGTTTAATAAGTACCTGGCCATCACCAGCTTTTTGGGACATTTTCCTTAAAAAGGCAGGGGTGGGGTTGAGCGGGGAGCAGAACTGTAAGGGAAGCAGTCCATTTCCTCCTTCTCACACCACTCTAAATCCTCTTTAGAAAGGAAATGTTTTTTTCCCCCATTAAATATGACTCAAAAATTCTTAACTGAAAGAAAGTTAGTTTCTCCTATCAACCTCAATTCAATGATTTTCTAAATCTATAGCTACCCATTCTGAATACTCCCCTATCATAAAATGTGTACCTCAGTTTAATCACCATTGTGGTTCCTACCCAGCCCCTCTATTTATTTATCTGTGTATTTGATCCTAGATAGTGACAATGTAAGAAAGGGAATTTTGTTTTTTTTGGAACAGGATATGTATGGGTGAGTGTTTGCAAGGGGGTTTGTGTATAATGATGGGGAGATAATATGAGGTTAAATTCTTTTTTCTTTAAAAAATTTTTATTTTTCCATTACAATTTATGTTCCATATTACTCTATATTTATTTCAAATGTACAGCATAGCAGTCAGAAAATCATTTATAGAGTGGTTCCTCTGATGCTTCAAGTAGACAACTGACACCATACATAGTTATCACCATATTACTGACTACATTCCCTTTACTGTAATCTACACCCCCTGTGACTTATTCTGAAACTAACAATTTATACTGCTAATCCCTTCACCTTTTTCACCCAGCTCTCCACACTCCTTTATCATTCAACTCTAAATGTTAGTGCAAGAGCAGGCAGGGTTCTGGCCTCCAATCTAATTGAATCCCGTTCAATACATATTAGCATATCACAAACACAGGCTAGATCCTTGGCAAGTTCTTAGCCAATAGTTTGACTTTATGGTCCCAGTAATTTCTCTTTGAGTAATTTGTATCAGCTTCTTCCCATTCTAAAATACCCCAACAACAAGAGCATGAGAAATTGGTCTGAAGCTTTTACACCTAGAATTAAAAAGTTAACCTATTCCCCTCCCAAAGAGAATACGGATTCTCAAAGACAATCTATATTATAAATACAAAAATCAAGGTAACCCTACAAGGAAAGTGGGGTATATCTTACTCCTTCACTCAGGACATGCAGATGCTAGCGAGATCCCATTGGGGATATCATTCCTCCCCCTGGTTCCCTGGCCCCAACAGTAAACAGACAATTTTCTATTGCTGCCATCAAAACATAATGTATGTTTTTAAAGATGCAGGAACAAAATTACTATTTTGTTAGTACACTAGACTTAATTAGTGATAAAAGATGTTAAAAAATATAAGTGACAGATTTATTTATCTCTTCCTTGCCCTGGAAGGAGACACAAAAAAAGTGACAGATAATATTAGGTGCCTGTGGAGAAACAGTAGCAGAAGAAAGTCTTTCCATTACACACCACTTTATACCTTCTGAATTTTGAATATGCCTATTCAAAAATAAATAAAAATCATTTAGATCCTAGGGCTCTGTCTTTTGTATGAGCCCTACGATCCTACACAGGTCTAAAATACAGAAAAGTTTAAAGTTTACAGTAATGGAAACATAAAATTAAGATTCCTAAAGTGCCTAGTTCTCACATTTTTGTCAAGACAGGTGAAAAATGAAAAGAATTAACCATCAATTTTTAATTTTTCACTCTAAGCACCAAAACAGAATAGATGCCTGGTGAAAACATACAAATTAATTCACTGCAAACACACAAACCTCAACATTAAATAGGACTTGTTTCTATAGAAAAAAATTTAAATGAGCTTGATTTTAATTTTTAGAAGATTTTATTTATTCATTTTTAGAGAGATGGGAAGGGAGGGCAAAAGAGAAAAACAGAGAGAGAGATCATATGTGTAAGGAACATCAATCAGTTACCTCTTACACGCATCCCAACCATACGCCCCAACCAGGGACCACCTGAGCAACCCAGGCAGGTGTCCTGACCAGGAATCAAATTGGCAACCCTTTGCTTTGTGGGACTATGCTCATTCAACTGAGACCCATGGGTCAATGTGCGAGTTTGATTTTTAAAGAGCTTTCTAAAAAGTAATGTGTCATGCTGAGAAGAAAAAAGAGCTTGGTAACCACTAAAAGTTAACAAGACAGGAAACACCTAACTTTGTAGGACACAAATCCTATATTTGATGAGTCTAAGAATGAAGAGATGTGAACAGAAAAAGAAGTTCTCTAGCTATATAACAAAAACCCCCACAATTTTTGCCTTCTAACTTTTAAAATGGCTGTACTGACAAATAGGAATTTCAGTAAATCAAAGCTTTCATTCCAACAAAACTGTCACAACTGAGTAAAATTAAATTCTGGGGCTTTGGGAAAAGCTCTTTCAAACATTTTCTTTTCATTGAAAACAAAGAGACATTAAAAGAAAGGCTTTCTCTTTTTTCCCAGCAGCCCTTCAAATATGCCTTGACATTTTACTTGTCTAATTCTTTTTCTAGTTGTAATAGGAAAAAAAAACACACACATACACAGACACACAACATGGGCATCACACAATTTCTGAAAGGGAAATGCCTCAAATATACACCACTGACTGGCTTATGTGGCAGTCAGATTACCAACTCTTTCCTTGTAACAGTGTTCCTGTCCATTGCAACAAGGTAGGGAGAACACACCCCTGAAACACACAGCAGGGACTCCACAGGCAAAAGCAGTTTCAGGTCTTAATTTTTTTTCCCTTTCATATTTTTTTATCAATTGTGTCTGATTCTCAGATCAGACCCATATACAATGAGTTTTAAATTTCAAACAACTGTCTACAGTACAGAGGGAGGTCTATGCAAGTGCATTTTCCATGGGTATTCATATAGGGAAAATATTTATTTTAGCACTCTAAACGTTCTTTTAAGCCAGTCTAGGCTTACTGCTGTATATCCCTGACCTGGGATTCTGCCTCTTCTTAAACAATTCCAGCGAAGCACTTACTACTTCATACAATTCCTGGGGCTCTCCCCTCTCCCCCATGAGCAATAGCTATCAAGGAACAACTGTTCACAAAAATTGTTAAGGATAGCAGTATCTTCCACTCTACTACTACAGTGCAGCTGATCTATGAACCTAATTACAACTTTTTATTTACATCTGTCCAATCTGTTGTGTTCTCTTTGAATCTGTACCTTGATTCCTAGTATCATTAGATACTAGTCACAGCTTGATGTCACAAGCATAGCTGATAACCTCCACAAACATAAGCCCTTGACTGAAATGACTAAGTACAAAGCTCTACGGAAAATCACACAAGGTCTCTATTCTGCTAGGCTAACATCTGACCCAGTAGTTTTCCATCTTTTGGAGGGCCATAGACCTTTTATGAATCTCATGAAAGTTAATGCTCTCTTAGAAAATGCATGTGAGCATACAATTTTATAACCATTTTAGGGAGCTGACAGATCTTTTAGAAGCCAACAGATGGACTTTATCTTAGGTCTTCCAATTTGCACTGATCTTCCCCTTTTCTGAAAATCTTCAACACTACAGTGTAGGACTTTTGATCTCATTTGTTCATTTAGTATATATTTACTTGGAGGCCTGCCCTTGGCTGGAAATATTTCAGAAGTTCCTTTTGTCTCCCTTTAATTTCTTTTAACTTCCTAACTGATCTTTTTGTCACTGTTCTTATTCTCTTCTAATCTATCCTCCAAAGTTTAAAGTGTTCTTTTTAAAATATAATCTGATCACTTACTGATCCAGCTGAAAAACCCTTCAATGGCTCTACTGCCTGCCATCTGGCTCCAGCTGACTTCACTCCCTCTGCCACCTGCGCTATACTGAACTCCAGGCATTTCCAGGACAGACTTTGCTTCTTCTCAACTCCCGGCCTTTCCACATGCAGCTTCATAAGACTTGAAGAAGGATCTCGCTTCTAGCCATCCCACTAGAACACTACTACAAGGGTCATCTCTAATGAGAAGCCTTTCTAGACCCTAGGCACCCACAATTCCCCCTGTCTGTGTACCCCCAGAATTCCCTGCTTTTTTCTGTCATTGGAACCACAGTCTTATGATGTGGTTTTTCTTTATCCATGCTCCTCTGGGAATAACAGCTCTTTGAGGGCAGCAATGCATCTAATTTATCACTGCATCTACAAAGCCTACCTGGCTTTGCACTGTAGACATTTGCATTTGTTAAGTAAGTTCTTTGGTTTAGTTGTTAAATAATTGATTTGAGAGCCTAATCACTTTATAATGCTATGTTTGAGATTAAAACTCCAGTATATTGAAATTTAAAAAATGAATTAACACTTAATATTATGTAAATGAGATTTTAAAAAGGCACATCAATACCAATTTTGGAAAAATGTATTTTCTTGGTAAGACTATAAAAAACTCAGAAGCTTTTCACATTTGTAGAGTTGAACAACTGTGCATACCATTGGGGATAAGAATTTAAAAATTAGTCTAGATTTTTACCTATACCTGACAG